CTAAATCTGAATTAAGGAAACAGAAAACGCAAACACAAATTAAGCAAATGTGGTTACGATTAACAGAACATATATCAATCGAATTAATCCAATCCTATTATATAAAATATGCAATTGAATTAAGCAAACAATTACAAATGAACAAAGCAATCAGAATTATAGATAGAATTGAAAACGAAATTGAAATTACTTAAAAATTGTATTAACCTCAAAGCTAACGGAGGTACAGTTACAGCAGATTAACCCGGAGGTATTAGTTCTCCATAAGACTCGTAAAAAGCTTCAAGTATTTTCGTGAATAGTGTCTGATATGTGATAACACGAACAGTGTATTAGTTCTCTTTTCTAGGTAAAATAAGTCGACCCAACCCATTACAAATGACTCAAACACTAAAATAAACTAATGCTGCAACTTGCACGAATTTTCTGGGAAAATGGGCTCCGAATTTGACTTTGAATCCTACACGAAAGTCATAGCTCTCTCTCTCTTAGCTTTCCGGATATTTTTAGAACGCCTCAATCGGATACTCCAAGCTCAAGTTATGATTTTTCTCGCGAAAGCTGAAAAATAAATACGAAAAACACATAAATGCAAAAATAAAGTAAAATATAAAAACACCTTAAAACATAAAAATAAATAAAACAAATCAAAGAAATGCTTGAGTAAAAACATGGAAGAATGTGCATCAAAATGCACTGATCAATAGTCGGGCTTGGTGATATAGCTGTATGTACCCTTGTCGAAGTGGCTCTCCTACCACTCAAGAGGGAACTTCACTTCCAAAGCCTCCGTCGGTCGCCCGTTCATATTCTTGATCACGTGATCGAGCAGGGAATTGACGACCGTATGCGACCCCGACTTTACACCGAAATATCTATCCTTAAAAGCACGAACAAAATCCAAGTACACCCTGAACAACTTCCTCGCCTGCTTCAGAGATACCCAACTATGTTGGCCCTGAAAGGATTGTCGCTGAAGGTGAAACATGCAGAAGAACAAAGAGAGCGTGACACCAACGCAAATATGTTCACGCACGAGCTCAAATGCCCACATGAATGCGATCACGTTGGGATAAAGTTGCAAAGGAGCCAAAGTCAACCACCGGAACACCCGCTTTTGGAAATCGCTGAAGAGAAGACAAAGCCCTACTTCCCAGAACACAAACTCGTGCATTGGGAACCACATCCCTTTGAAAGACGAGCATATCTGGTGTGTCTCCCTGGGTTTGTAGACCATCCAATTCGCGAAGCCCCCCTCAGCGAGATCTTCGACGGTCACAAGGGCATCCGAGTCGTCGACAGCGAAGCTTGAGGCAATGTTGAGAGGTTCTTGCCCGACTCAATCGGACGACATGCGGGCATGCGCGACCTTGACTTCCTCGTCAGCCAAATCGAGTTCGACTTCCTCATCAATCATGATGACACCCTCGGGCTTTGTGGTCATTTACCTGAAAATCGGAGGAAAATGGTGAATTAGACATCTAAGATCAAATCCACCCTTCCATCGCAAATCAAGTGAAAGGGCGAAGAAAGGGGGTGGGGAAATGCTCGACAAACTTCCTCGACCGAAGCCCTCTCCAGAAAGTGCGCACATGAGATGAGATTCTCCTCGACGCAGAACACAAAATATCCCTCCATGGGAGAAAGGTTCCTCGGCGCTTAAATTCCCCCAGTCAAACATAGAAAGTCTCTTCGATTAGAGAGTTCCTCGCGATACTCACACGCCTATGAGGAGAAAAGTTCCTCGATGTCGAACCTGCCGAGGATGCTAAGAGCCTTAGAGGTCCTCGATACCTTCATCGTAGGTCCCTTATGCCTTCATCAGAAACTTCATGCAATTTCCCTAGATCATCATGAACTCTTCGGCATCTTCATCAGAAACTTCACGAGTTCGCCGAAAACTTCATGGTTCCGCCGGAAACTTCATGAAGTTTGCCGGAAACTTCATAGGCTCTCCGGAAAAGTTACAGAAAACTCAAGAAATCCCCAACAAATGTATAACCCACAAAAAAAGGCATAAATTATGAGAAAGGACAAAAGACTCACTTGTGAAAGGATTTTGAAGTTGGATGGCGGAGCAAAAAGCTGACAGCAATGGCGGTATCGAACGAGGGTGAGAAGAGCAGAGAAGATCTTGAGAGAGATTCTTGAGCTAGAATGAGGAGAGCATGCAAATGAACTGGCATTTCCCTTTAATTATAAACCCTAGCGCGAGAAGCGAGGAAATTCGTAAGTATTCAAGCACCCTACTCGTAGTCGTCATATACATTTATTGCCTCTGACACGTGGCTCAAGGATATGTCACGCGCGTCCCTTCAAGCCCCCTTGCACGGCTCGAAGATAATTCAACATGTCGAGCATAATTCCCATCTCTGGCACTACCAGGAACACCTCCTCGAGAAGAGATGGAAGCAAGCTATGTATACATGTGATGAGCACTTGTCCTCGGGAGAAACGCCTGACCAACCCCGTCATCAGCCACAGACGAAGCTCACTATCGAGCACGATTAATGACTTATGCGTCTGGTCTTAGATAGCCCCGCGAGCTCAACGCCTCGAGCACGAGCGACGCATAGGATAACCCATCCTCGACACGATAGTTGACTCTTAAGTCATTACCCATACGCTTCAGAGCAACGACTTAGTGGGCTCCTGTTCTGGACTAGGCTAGAGGCTGACCCACCATTGGGCACGACTGAACCAACTCCTCGTCGAGGAGGGCCCAATGAAGGCCCAATTCATCACCCCACACGGGGAGCTCTCACACGTCTCCTCAACAGTCTCCACGCGCTCCCCACGCGAGAACACGTCATTAGCCAACTATCCGCATTCGAGAGAACATGTCCTCCACCTCCCGAAGTCCACGGGGTAGTTGGACCAGAATGAAGGTCATGTATTGGTTTTCCCTACGCCACGTAGATCCTGGCCGTTATTCGAATTGAGCCTAATATTCCAACCCAATGCAAATAACCGTTGGCCCAGCGCTGGAGGCACATTATAAATACCCTCTTTCACCAGAGGGTCAGATATTCTATTCTCTACACTTTCTGTACTTGCTCTCTTTGCTCCATTCCTTACTTTGACATCAGAGTGTCTTGCAGGTACACCCCTTCCTCTTCTCCACCACCAGCGAACTAGAAGCTCACGACGCGTTGCTGGTTGTTAATCTCTTTCTGGCCCGGTAAGATCTGGATCGAAACCGCTTAGGGATTTGTGTTATAATAGTCGATGATAAGTCGTAACCTGAATCAATATGATTAGTTGTTTTAGCTTATTTTGATAATCGCTTATTTTTCTCATTTACTTAATCAAACCTTAAACCTAAACGACCCCCAAATCGATTTCATTAGGTTAATTATAATTCAAGAATCATTGAGATACGATATTCGAGGTGTCACTTCTATTTACTTCCTTTTGTCTTTAACTCATTTTTGACCTGCATGCGACAACATATCATTGACTGGGCAACTTGCCCAACTACACGGAGATCTACAACTGAGTTTGCAGTCTTTCCGGGAAAATCCATCATTTCATGGGAATAAATAAAATAGACGATTGTCTCTAGTTCCAGCTCTGAAGTTAAATATAGTGCGCTTGCTATTTTAACTTGCGAGATCCTATGGTTGCATTATCTTTTCAGCGATATTCACATCAAATTCACAATGCCAACCTCATTCTACTGCGACAACAGATCAACAATCTACCTCGCATACAATACAAATTTTCATGAAAGATTGAAACACATAGAAATCGACTGCTACATCATTCGCGAAAAGTTAGAAACTGGCCTCATTAAATTGTTTCCAATTCCTTCCATTACAAAACTTGTTGACTTCTTCACTAAGCCTCTTTTTGATAATTCATTTTTAAGTTTTATTGTCAAGTCTGACCTTCTGTTTGTCCATCGTCCAACTTGTGGGGAGTATTAGAAAACCCCTATTAATTAGCTTTAGTGACTTGATCAATTACCACCACTTTTTTAGAAAATCTATTATTATTTTCCTTTGGTAACTTTTTGTATAAATACTGAGTGACTCTCTTAGTGTAATTAATTAATGAGAATGAATAATGAAATATGTGGTTTATGAGTTTCAATAAATATGTTTAGTAGCACAAAAAAAAAAGAGTTTTTAACTTTAGCTTTAAATTTTTCTGCTCATATTATTAAAAAAGTTTTGTTTGATAATTGTCATTTAGCTTTTTAGTTTGTCATTTTTCCTACTATATTTTACTTTTTTTTTTAAAGTGATTTGAAATAGGTTTTAAACTTAAATCTTTTAACTTGTCATTTTTCTTCCATTTATATCTTTATTATTAAAAAAAAAACACATTCTTACTCTTCAATCTACTACCATATATATATATATATATATAAGTGTAACAACTAATTTACCAAACACTCAAACTAATTTATTTGTTACCAATCATCAACTATCAACTACTATCAATCACCAACTATCAGCTACTAGCTATCAATCTTCAACTATTAACTATCAGTTATCCATTATAAATTACCAACTATCAACTATCAAATAATTTTACAATTCTATAACTAGTTTTACAATTCTAATTTGATTAGCTTTTTCAATCCATTTTAATTCTTAATTGTCTATGATATTATATCTCAAAAATATTAATTAATCTCACAAGACAATTTATACTGGCACAGAAAAATTGATTTTATTTTCTGAAAAAACTTAGTTACAAAATGTTTAGATAGGAAGATGGTATCAAAGAATACTCAATTTTTTAGTAAAACAAAAACTACTTCATTTAAAAATTGCCATAAAAATAAAAAATAATTAATTTTCAATAGCCACGCAGCAAGGTAAATTGACCGGGTATATGCTAGAGTCTCCGGGGATAGATTTTATGAAAAAACACAACGAACGAAAGAGAGGGAGCAATCATCGATGAGAGGAAAACTGGATAATGCCTTGAAATTTGCAACAACGTGTTACGAAAACTCGAAACCCAAACCCTAATTCATCACATTTGCCATGGAAGTTACTTCTGCAATCCATCGTCTCTGTCTCTTTCACGAAGAACCGCGATTCTCCTCTTCCACACTCGTGAGTGCGATCATTTTTAAACCCAATCTTCATCTATCTATTACATATGTTTTTGGTTTTATTGAAATCCTTTGATTATTGCATCACAGTTGCGCTCTCAAAGAGGAACAGCACCTTGTAAATATCCATTTTTCAATTGTGGTGTGTGAATTTTTACTTCTTCTTTGTGTTTTTGTGTTTGCTAGTTTGTTAAGTATTTTAATATGTGAAATTTTATCTTCCTTTTCTTGTATAGCTTCTAAAACTGGTTTCTTAGGCATCCCCAAGCAGCAAAGAAACGTGTTGAGGGTATCATTTTGTCCCAAAATTGACTTAAGTGGATCTCGTTACTGTTACAAATTGAATCTTCAAAATAAACTCCCCAGGGATGTTATTGTAAGATCCGATATTACTGCAGCCGGGTCTGCAGGAGAAGACTATTCAATACCTGGTTTGTATTGACATAAAATGTCTTGTTTTGTTTAGGTTAAAACTTGAATGTATGTTCTTTATGTGATTGTTGTTGTTCAATTTATTGTAGAGCTCAAATTGGAAGCAAAAGTTAGGGGAGTTTGTTTTTACGCCGTTACTTCCTTTGCTGCAATATTTCTTTTTGTGTTGATGTTGGTTGGACATCCATTTGTGCTCCTGTTTGATCGTTACCGGAGAAAGTTCCATTATTTTGTTGCCAAACTCTGGGCTACGCTGACTGTCACTCCGTTTTTCAAAATTGAATATGAAGGGTTGGAGAACCTTCCGCCTCCGGATACTCCTGCCGTGTATGTTTCCAATCATCAGAGTTTTCTAGACATATATACTCTTTTAACTCTCGGAAGAAGCTTTAAATTCATAAGCAAGACTGGGATATTCCTTTTTCCAGTAATTGGGTGGGCAATGTTTCTTTTGGGTGTTATTCCTTTGAAGCGCATGGACAGCCGAAGCCAGATGGTATTCTTTCACCATTGTGTTTGCACTTAATATTAACCACTTCTTCTGGATTAAATATTTGTGTTTTCTTTGATATTTTTCCCTCCCTCTGGATTTTCAGATATTCATAGCTCTCAAATCATCTCTGTTTCTTCTTCTTTATGTATAGGAGTGTTTTAAAAAATGCATGGATCTCATCAAGAAAGGTGCCTCTGTTTTTTTCTTTCCTGAGGGAACACGCAGTAAAGATGGAAAGTTAGGTGCATTCAAGGTGAGTTTTTATCATCATTACCGTAATAAGGTATCAAAATTTAAGTTGGATCCAATCCCTGCTTCAAGTGGTATGACATTTTGTAGCTTTGGTTTTTGAGGGGTCTCCAAACAGGGATCTATATCTGGCGGTTCCAGTGGTTTCTGCGGCTTCGTCAATAGTGTGTATGCTGTCATTCTTGGTGTCATTTGGACTGTTGTGGCCGCCACAAAGCAAACTCGCAACTAGAGAATTTGGAGACTTTGGCGGCAGTTAGTCTTCTCACGACACGAGCCACTGTTTCTGCCACATGCAGATTGGCATCCAATGGTTTAGATGGAGGTCGCAGATCCGGTCTGTGCACACCTTGTCTCCCCACTACCGTGCTAGATCCTTTCACCTTCTCTATCTTCCTCGATTCTCTACACGCCTCCATGCAGTCTTTGTCTCCCCACTGTCATGCTAGATCCCTTCATCTTTTATGACTTCCTTGATTCTCTACATGCTGCATATTCTCTCACTGCCTTGTTTGTGATACTTGTACAGAGGGCTATCGGCACTAATTGCAGATGTTCCTTCTCAGTCCTCTTCACATGTTGAGAAAAGGTCTCCACCACTCAAGACTCAAACTTGTGATCCTTTGTTTTCCCTTCATTCTTTTGCAATGTCGCAATGACGCACACACCTAGCACTACTACTTCTTTTGCTATGGTACCTGTTTCGAGATTTGCTATGGTACCTGTTTCGAGAGTTTGAGTCTCAAAATCATGTCCCTCGTGATCTACTTCTTTCGTCTTCATTGTTAACTTGAATTCATAAATCGAATCTTTAGTGTAAGTGGGATGAATGAACACCTTCTGAAGAACGTGGCTCTAACAATTTTGCTAACTGTTATTATATTTTGATAACATTGCTCCATTGCTTCACCCCAAGAATCTTCCATATTTGCAAGTCACACTTCTAACACATCCATTGTCTGATTATTTCTGATGACATCTCCGGAACTTCTTTAGCTCCTCTCGATAATCCGGCAGGTCAGACCATTGATAGAACCTATAAAGTTAAGGTAGCAAATGTATATTATTGAAAGGAAATGGAAGAGCTAAGGGCTCTACTGTGGTGGCAAAACAGAAAAGGAAATGATAAGCCAGAGTCACAAAGACTCCTATTCTAGAACAAAGCTCCTAACTATATATAACTTTGCTAACCAATTGTAACAATGTTTTTGAATGCCTCTCAACTCCTCCTCCCTCTTTCTTAAAATAGAAATTCCCTAAAATTAGGGAATATCCTAACTAACTCTTATTTCATTTTTTATACATCCTTCTAGAATATGCCTACATGTCAAAGTGTCCTATCATACCCATAACACTATTGTTGGGTTAGAGAAGCATCAACCCTCCACTTAAATCCATGTAATGGTTGAGCTGCTGTGTCATAACCTAACGGCCAACAAAGTCTCCCTTTCTAACCCCAGTAGTAGACCAGGCTGCAAGGGGATTCCTAATGGATGAGGTCTTAATTATTCCATTAATAAATACTTTTAAATTATTTCTAAAACAATATACCATCGTGGCAAAAAGTAAAAATTTGATAGCATGACAGTGTCCAATGCATGACCTTTAACCACTAAAGATGATGCAATACAATGCACGTACTAAAGTTGTAATTAGAACAAGGCAACATCTACAATGGTCGAGATGATGCAATACAACATTACTAACTTAACTAGATGATGCAATACAACATTACTAACTTAACTAGATGATGCAAAGAATGCAATACAACATTATTTAACAAGGCAACCCCTACAACCTTCCTAACTTAACTAGACACACACACAAAAATTTAAAAGGAGGCATTGGTTAAACTCTGACTAGATATTTTATTTACCTTGGTCGAGATGGACACTCTTTGGATGGTGTGTTCTGATATCCAACACCCGTCGGATAACTCTGAAGTGTCGTAAAATATATATTTTTTATTTGTTTTGACTCACTTTGGACACTCCTCGACATACCGTAGATTCGTTTACAGAAATAATGGCCACATCTAAGAAAATTAAAACAAAGAACGTTTTTAAAAGTAATATAGTAATGGTATTTTAATTAGATGTGGAAAAATCTTGCTTATGTATGTCTTTTCAAATACAACCATCATCATCTTTTATGGTATTCAAGGATGATTTAAAACTTAATTACATGATTTTTCAGTTTTTCGTTAGGAGTTGGATAAATCTTTTATGTATGTCTTTAAATACAACCATCATCATCTTTTTTGTTTATAATGATAGGAATTGCTCAATTTAAATGCATATATACATCTTTATTCTCAATTTAGATATTTTATAAATTATGTTCATATTTTATTTAATTATAATTTACTAGTGTGCAGACGGACACAACATGTTTTAATTTTCTTCTCAACTTATTAGTGAATTATTGTAAGTTGATTTTCAATGTTTATAAGTACACTCATTTACACAAACTAACTGTTAAGTTTATTGAAAAAGACACTTTCATGAGTCAGTTGGTAACGGGAAGTGATACATGGAGAAAATTCAAATAAAAGGCTCTTTTTGGAAGAAAAAACAGGCTGTTTTTTATATTAGTGATGTCGGTGTGTCCATGCTGTGTCTGGTTTTCGTGCTTCAGTAACTGTTTTCTTTCTTTCCGAGTTCACATAGGAATATGCTTAGGAGTTAGGACCAAAGTTGTCAAACTCGTGTTTTTCCGTCAACTCTTTACGTCGGCGGAATCGACTCGTAAACTTGTGTTTACCTTATATTAAAATAATTATAGACAATACATATATTTATATAATACTATAAATGCATCAATAATTCAAAATGTAACTTATTAATTCTAAAGCAAAAATATGCCAAGTCACCATAATAAAGTATCATGTTGATACATTTGTATCAAACTACATAATTCCCCTCTCAAAATCCTTAATACATTAAAACAATCTTTAAGAAAAACAAGAGTTTCATAAGTTTCTAAATTTGTCAAAAAAGTCGGGTAAAATTGCTTCTGATTAAGTCCAATTTCAGAGTTTACTATGTGTTAACTAGGGTAAACTGGCTCAACTCCGATTTTATACATATTTGATTTTACTCGAAATCTATATACGTGAATTGTGAAATCGGATGATTTTACAAGTTAAAGTCCAATTTTAACAACCTTGCTTAGGGAGCAGCTTTAGTAAGTAGTATTTTCAAGTCTTTTATTTTTGTGTGCCTATTTATTTCTAGTAGAGATTTCATATAGATGAACTAATTGTCAACTTTAATCTTTCCCTTGGGGATGTACAGAAGGGAGCTTTCAGCATTGCTGCAAAGACTAAAGTACCAGTTGTACCAATTACTCTTATTGGAACCGGCCAAATCATGCCTGCAGGAAGGGAGGGTATTGTTAACTCAGGTTTCGTGAAAGTTATTATACATAAACCTATAGATGGTAATGATCCTGACATGTTATGCAAAGAAGCTAGAAATAAAATCGCAAGTGTGCTGACTCAAGCCTGAAAAATGTACTGCAAAATGTTTCTAAAAATTTCTATTACACAAGAATCAAACCTTTGTGCCTTGGATTGAATTGAAAAGGTAAAATGCCAGCCTCTAATACATTGTAGCAAGGAAATTTCGTATTTTATTAGTCAACTGTGGTTTTGGTTTACATGGACATTTCATTACTCTGTTATAGGATCACACTTTTGAGAAGGTGAAATGAGTTATCTTGTTCATACTAAACACTTTTGTTACTTCCTCTGGTGCAGTCATGCTTTGCTTCGGTGGACTAGCCATGAGTTTGTAGCTCTTCAGGCGTTGAATTCAATCTTTGTTCAGTCACATTGGTTCCTCCATGTTTTTCTTTCTGTAGGGAGGATGAAGGTGGTTTCTTAGATCTGCTGATCAACAAAGGGTTGATTGTTAGAAATGGATAATATATATATTCCAATTTCACAGTTTTGCAACTAATTTTTATGTATGAACTGCGCAACAGTTTTTAGTATATGATAAATTAGCCAGTTGGTTTTTGTTTCCGACTTGTGAATGTTATTTTTTTAAAAATTACTTTTAAAATAAATGTTTCTTTTTTAAGAAGTTTCATTAATTAAAGAAACGGGGTTTGAACTTTCTGCATGTATTAACATTAGAAAGATTCACTTAGATTTAAGTTTTTAATTCTTACCGTGGAGGAAAGGCTAGAAATAAATTTTGTAGCATTAGCAAAATGCCACTCAGATTTAAGTTTTAGATTCTAGCATTGAAAGTATATAAATAAATTTTACAGTAATTTTTTTATTTTTAGATTTCAACCTGACACGTCGGGTTAAAGGAGCAAAAGCATCCATTGAACCAAAATAATTGAAATTGTAAAAACAAAAATATCTTTTTTGATTTTTTCAAAATATATACTAGTAAGGTTTCTATTTTTGAGCAGTTTATTAGACATTCACAAGTAAGTTTGTAATTTTTTTTTTTTGTTTGATAAGTTCTTACGTGTTTGATAACGCGAAATTGTATATATAAAATGACATGTGTTTTAACTAATATTTGACTGGTTTCACTCCGAATTCGGGGCATTCCATGCTATTTGTCTAAGTATTATGCAGGTATTCAAAGAACATGTCCAAGCAAAGCAATATGAAGAAAAGGAGCAAAAACAGGTGAAAATCAGATGAAAAACCAAAAGAAAAACAGCAAAAACGAGTTCTACTGATGTGACGACCGTCACATAACCGTTACGCTCGTCATGCGTGTGACGACCGTCACACATCCATGACGACCGTCATGCACCCAGAACGTGCAGAATGAGGTCACATGCTATAATTCCTCCTCAAAGACTAAAAGAGTGACCACTAACTCCTACTTTTCTGCCTCAAACCCACTTCCTGAAGGAATAACCGTTAGATTCTCTCTCTATAAAAGGAAGAGGTTGGGACCTGAAAAAGGGGCCGCATTCAAGACAACGAAGTGCTGCCAGTTTATCTTCAGAGCAACCTTACCTTTCTCATATTCTTATTTGTTTCTCTCCTTCGTCTCTGTATTCCTTTGGTATTCTTGTATTTTCCTTTTCTTGTACGATCAATTGGCACAAAGACTAGAATCCTGCCAACATTGTGGAGGATCTGCCCAAAAGCCAATTGGGATATTTCCAGGTTTTTATTTTAATCGTAATTGCAATTTTCATTATGATATATGTTCTCAATTACTGCTTTTATTTATGCATTATCAATTCTTTTTCCATGTCTAGCTAAATTACCGTAATCGACATGTAATAATAATTCGGACGGGATTTGATAATAATTGGCGTAATCTTTCTCTTTTCAAAACTCAATTATGGTTTTAGTTTTTAATTAAAAGTTCTAAGTAAACGTTCGTCGCGACAGCGAGAACTTATTTAAAAACAGTTTTGCTACGACAGTGGGAAATTAACTAAGGTACGAACCAACAAGCGACAACTGCGGCTAAGACCAGATAGTAAAAACTAGGCATTCGATTTAAAAACAGCGAAAGCGCTTTAAAAAGGATTAGAACTTAGAGATTTTCAAAAAGTAACTTTAACCCCGAACGGGATAGCGACAGCATGTCAATAATTCTTGGCTTCATCCTTTTCTCATTATTATTTCTCGTATATATAGAGGTTACAGAGCTATATTGGTAATTACACTAAATAATTACATTTTAATGAGAACAAGTCAATTTCTAATTTGTTTCCTTTATTTTAGAAACAAACCCTTATTCTAGGAACAAACCCTTATTCACATCCCCCCTCAAATTGATGCTGCTTGTCAATAAGCATCAATTTGCTAACAAGAAACTGATGACGTGGACGCAGAACAACCTTGGTAAGAATATCTGTAATCTGCAACTGAGTACTGACATGAGGAAGTGATATGATTCGGTCATCATAAGCATCACGAATTGAGTGACAGTCAACTTCAATATGTTTGGTGCGTTCATGAAAAACAGGATTCGCAACAATTTGGATGGCACTTGTATTGTCAGCATAAAGCGAAGTTGGCTCTATTTGAGGAAATCCAAGTTCAGCCAAAAGACCACGAAGCCAAATTATTTCAGAACAAGCAGCAGACATGGCACGATACTCAGATTCAGTAGAAGATTTAGAGACTCTTGCTTGTTTCTTACTTTTCCATGAGATCAATGAAGAGCCAAGAAACATGCACCAACCAGTGACAGATCGTCGAGTATCAGGACACCCTGCCCAATCTGCATCACTATAAGCACTCAATTTAGGAGCAACTCCACTAGGAAAGAATAAACCACGATGAGAGCTTCCCTTCAAGTAACGAATTATACGACGAACTTCTGCCAAGTGAAGGTGGCGAGGAGAGTGCATGAATTGACTTACTTGTTGAACAGCAAACGATATGTCAGGGCGAGTAATAGTCAAGTAATTAAGGCTACCCACGAGTTGACGATACAATAAGGGATCAGGCAACAGATCACCATCATCACGATGATATTTAACATTAACCTCAAGCGGAGTATCCACTGGATTAGCCGATTGGAGACCAGCCATGGAAATTAAATCTGTGGCATACTTGTGTTGATGGAGGAATATGCCCTTGGATGTAGAATGAACCTCAAGACCAAGAAAATAATGCAAATTACCAAGATCTTTCATATGAAACGCTGCTTGTAACTGCTGTTTAAGGCTTTGAATGGAAGCATGATCAGAACTAGTAATAATCATATCATCAACATACAGAAGAAGTAGGACAATTCCAGTAGACGTTCTATGAATAAATAGAGAAGAATCATACTGACTATGAGTAAAGGAGAACCCAAGTAGAATGGAGCGGAATTTTTCATACCATGCTCTAGGTGCTTGTTTCAAACCGTATAAGGAGCGTTTAAGCTTGCACACACCCTTAGATGATGAAAATAAACCTTGAGGAGGAGTCATATAAATGTCTTCCGCGAGGTCACCATGAAGAAAAGCATTTTTCACATCTAATTGATAAAGAGCCCACCCGTTAGAAGCAGCTATAGAGAGTACCGTACGAACGGATGTCATTTTAGCAACCGGTGCAAATGTCTCTTCATAATCAATTCCATATTCCTGCTTGTTTCCTAAGGCAACCAAGCGAGCCTTGAAACGGTTGAGGGACCCATTCGAATTCAATTTCACAGAATACACCCATTTGCAGCCAATGGGTTTGACATCTGGAGGACAAGAGACAATATCCCATGTGAAATTCTCTTGAAGAGCTTGAAGTTCCTCATTCATTGCTTTTATCCAACGTACATCTTTAACAGCCTGTGAATAACAAGTAGGAATAGATATGCCAGAGAGGGTGGCAGTCAGAGAAGTATGTGCTGAATCATACCTGTCTGGTGAATATCTGTCTGGTGCTCGAGATATTCGAACAGAACGTCGTGGTTCAACCGTTACAGGATCAGGTGGCGGTTCAGCGTCGGGAAGGGGTGTGGGAACCTGCTGTTTGTGTTTTCTGACATATACATGACCTGGTTTATAACGCTCTATAGATTGAGGCATAATAGAGAACTTAGGAAGAGTAACAATATCATTCATGACAGGAGAAACGCATGGAAACATAAACTGATTATCAAAAAATGTCACATTCCTAGAAATGTGAAAACGATGGTTAGTGACATCATAACACACAAATCCCTTATGTGAGTGACTATACCCCATAAACGCACATTGAACAGACTGTGCTCCAAGCTTATGTCTTTTAAATGGAGGTAAGTGCACAAAACAAACACATCCAAAAATATGTAAATCATTATAACTAGGCTGAATTTTAAAAAGGCAAAAGAAGGGAGAATCAAAATCAATAAGCGTAGAAGGAAGACGATTGATCAAGAATACGGCCGTGGAAAGAGCCTCAACCCAAAATCGGGATGGCACAGAAGCTTGAAGAAGTAATGTGCGTGTTACATCAAGTAAATGACGATTCTTTCGCTCTGCCATCCCGTTTTGTTGAGGGGTATTGGGACAAGACCGTTGAGACAAGATCCCTTTTTGTTGAAGGTATTCCTGAAATGCATGAGACATATACTCACCTCCCGAGTCAGATCTAAAAATTTTAACACTTGCTTGAAATTGGTTTTCAACATATGTCAAAAACTTCTAAAACATAGAAAACACTTCAGACTTAGATCTAAGAAAATATATCCAAGTAAAGCGGCTGTAATCATCAATAAATGTGACAAAATATTTATAGTGAGCATGAGATGTTGCAGGAGACATTCCCCACACATCACTATGAATCATCTCAAAACAAGTAGAAGCACGATGAGCGCCTGACGGAAAAGGGAGGATTTTACTTTTAGCCAATTTGCAAACAGAACATGAAATAGGAGTAGTACACGCATGTTTATTTCCCAACAAACCAGTTTTAAATAAATGAGACAAAACAACAGAATTTGGATGGCCTAATTTTCTATGCCAATCCTCATAAGAGTTCAAAACAGTATTACATGTAAAGGATAAATGACTAGAACTAAACTGGAGTGGAAACAATCTTCCC